TACTAATCATCGCAAACACTTTTGATTTCTTTTTGTAAGCATTAAACATTTCTAATCCCATCTTATTTATTTGTTCTTAGCTATGTGTGGCTAAGAAACCCTAATTTCTAGTTCTTGTTTAAAACATGTTGATTGTTTGACTTGAAGCATACGATTTGATGTTTGATTTGTGATTCTATTCTAGTGATTATGTTTGTTTAAACTAGAATCATTGAATTTGATTTTTGTTTGATTGGCCACTTACATGAATTGAATTTTTGTGTAGTTAATTAACTTTTCGGGCACCTAATCGTTCTATGAAGTTAATAATTGGTAACAAACAATAAGTTTTCTTATTGTAAAACATATATCACATGTCTTCACACTTCCGAGCGTATGAGAAGAAATGAACATTGTTGGGAAGTACAAAACTTAATGCGGTTTTTCAATACAATCTAAGAGCATGTTTAGGTTGAATTAGTAAAGCTAAGTCTAGTCAAAGAGCGTGTTTTGGTTAGATAATTTGGCAAGCGAGAGGTATTAGAGCGTGTTAATATCTTTCAGTACCAACTTAGAATAGCAATCATGAATTACATCAAGTCATAATCAAGTTGAACAACAACATTGAGAACTAGAACTAGAACCATTCAATTAAATTGTTTACAAGTTTATTTCATTTTCTGCATGTTTTTAAAGTAGACTGTTGTTTTATTATTTTACTTTTGCAAACAACCCCCCCCCCCCCTTCTATGATCAAAGTACCTTGCGCAAAGAGGTATAGACTTTTATCTTGTGTCTCTGTGGTTCGACCCTGCTTGCATTGTACTACTTTTTAGTGCATTAAAGCAGTGTATTTGAAGTCCATTGTACCCTTATTATTTGTTGGATTTGACACACCTAACAAAAAGACATGCCTAAATATCAAACAATGTGTTCCTTACTTGGTCATCAGTTCAAAATTAAAATAATATGTGTTCCTTACTTTTTGTAGCATTGGATCGACAATATCTGGGTTTAAAAGAAAAAAAACAACAACAATTTTTCGGCCGATAGAGAATCATAAGGGTGACACCATTGAGATCCTTGTATAAGAGTGCATAAGACAATGGGGTATTGATAATGTGTTTACTATCACGGTGGATGACGTGTCCTCTAACGATGGAGCTATCTAATTTTTAAGATGATATTAAAAGGACCAAATGATGTTTTGAATTGTAAATGTCTGCACATATGTTTGTTGTGCAGATATCATCAATCTCATGGTTAGAGATGGCTTAAAAGAACATTTTTATTATATTATTTAAGTGTAAGGCACGGTAACGTATGTGAGATCATCACCGACTAGTCATAAAAAATGTGAAGACTATTTTGCTCGGGTAGCTATTGTGTATAAACAAAAGTTCTCTCTTGATGTTGATACTAGATGGAATTCAACATATTTAATGTTGGAAACGACTGTAAAATATGGAAAAGCATTTAATAGGTATATTGTTATATCTTTATACTAATTTTTTCTTTAAGTAAGAAAACTAATACATTGTGTATGTTTTATTTTCTCAATAGGATAGACTCCAATGATGGAACTTATTTCGAAATGAAGTGGATACACAAGAAAAAGGAAATGAAATGATATAGTATTGGTGCTTCGAGTGAAGTTGATTAGAAGACTGTCAAGTATGATTAACTTTTTAAATTTATAGTTTGTATCAATCATTTGAATACTTTCATGTTGTTATTTATTTAAAAGTACTTGAATTTTTTTCCGATGTTACAACCAAGATATCATGGTATAAGTATGTAACATCGAATACATTTTATTTCCGAGCTCATGATTGCGCTCAAGTCTACATGAACAAAAAAATATATATGGGAAATTTAATGAAGGTTAAATATGATAGATATTGGGACGACATAGATAACATGGATTTTGTATTTTTATGTTGCGGTTGTCTTAATACTAGGAAAGGTGGAGAAGATTCTTCAAGAATTGGTTAACCACTACAAGAATAAAATAAAAAACAAGTAGTTTTGATGACACAACTATTGGTGACTTGGAGCTTAAATTTCACAAATATTATGATAAATATCAAGAGACTAAAAGTGAAGTGGATATCTATTTAGCGGGCGGAAAAAACATAGCTTTTTTATATATTTTTTGGAGTGGTGGAAAGCAAATTCAGTCGAATTTCCTTATATTGTCCAAACTAGCAAGACATGCCTTGGCAATGCCGACCTATATAGTCACATCGGAATCGACATATAATACCGACGATTGCGTCATTCATGGAAGCCTTAATTTATAAACAAGATTAGATACGGTCATCACCTACGGTTCTTGAGCTAATTGGTACTATACCGGAGAAACAAATAGAGGAATTAAATGAGAAGTTAGTGGTTACAAAAAATGGTAAGGTTTTTTCCATATGGTTTGACTTCATATTTCAAATACATACTAATATTATCATATACTTTTTATATAGATACACTTTTAAAGTGCAAAAAATCTTCCAAGGATGCACAAGATATGGATTCACTTGCTAGCACATAAGTAACATATTATATTTTGGTGTATATTTCTTTTATGTTATTATGGTTTTTCTTTAATTTTTGTTTGGACTCTTTGCCTTACTCTTTACGGTTTTTCTTTCTATTTAGGATGTTTCAGTGGATAATGATTTATTGTTGCTTTTTCATGGTGATAAGATCATCCGTTATACCCACCACATACCACACATGTGGTGGGTGCCACATCAGCACCACATTCTCCTACCACTAGCATGGGATATCTACCACTAACACACCACTCCACCTCATTTTTTTTATTTAAATTTAATTCAAAAATACATTAAAATCATTTTTTAATACTAGTTTTTCCATTAAATTAAAATAGCAAATTACATTAAATAAAAACTACATTAATTGAAATTAAAAAAAAAAAAACTAACAATAAAAATAAAAATTACATTGCTTAAATTAAAAAAAAATAAAAAAAAACTAAAAATTCCAACCATAAATAAAATAAACTACCCTATACGCCTACGTCGGGCTCGAACCAACTCTTTCATCGCTTGGAAAAGTTCCAAGTCTTCACCCTCAAGGTCGTCCGCTTTCATTTTCAAGATTTCCATATCCGTTTTTGTTTGGAGCGTCGCTTGTGCCTCTTGAAATGATGATTGTGCTTCGATCATTTTTTGTTTCATCCAAGTCATCACCTCGGCCTTCGTTTCTTGAAGTTGCACATATCGATCAAATTTATCGTCAAACATATCCATAACACTAGAATTCGAAGATGTTGACGCCGCTTTTTTTGCTTTACTTCTTCCAACGGGCCGACGAAGAGGTTGGTCGTTTTCAAGATCTAGCGGATCGTCGTTGATGTCGATGTGTGTTCGGCCGTCCGATTGTTGGGAAGTTGCATCGGGGTTTCTCGAACGCTTTGAACCGGAAGATTGCGAAGTTCCTTCCGTTTACTCTTTCCATTTTGGGGCGTCTTTCAATTTTAGTCACGGTTTCATATACGAAAAAGCTTTACGTGTTGGCGTTGTTTTTTCAAATTGTTTCATGGCCGCCTTGAAAACATCAAAATCGTTCGAACCGCTTTTGCGTATGTTTAGGAGGTTGTTGTAGATTCCTCCAAACTCGGTGCATTTTAGTCAAATATCTCGCCATTTCGAAGTAATTTGATCGGCGTTTTGAGTTTCACTTTCCATTAACTCGTAGAAAATGGCTCGGACTTTTTCCCAAAAACTTCCGTAAGGATGACTATCACCTACAATTGGATCTTCGGAAGCCGCCGCCCATGCCTCCGCTAACTTTTCTTCTTCTTCTTTTGTCCGTGGAACCCTTTCTTGGGCGGTAGTGGGTCGGGCCGGTTTTTTCCCTTTTTCTTTTTTGGTTGAGGTGGTGGTGAAGGTTGCATTTCCGCAACAAAATCCGACGAAAGTGGTGGTTGTGAGCTTGGTGGTTGTGAAATTAGAGGTTGTTGTTGTGTCGATTGTTGGTGGGCTTGTTGTAGTTGTTGAATTTGTTGAAATTGTTGGTATTGTTGTGAAATTTGTTGTTGTTGGAAAGACGGAAAAGGTTGACATTGTTGTTGGAAAAGTGGTGTTTGTTGGATAGGGGAACCGGTTTGAAGTAGATTGAGAAAACCGCCTTGAGAAAACCGCCTTGAGGTGACTCCATAGTCGGGAATTGGCGAGGTGTTGTATCTAACGCAAAAGCGTTATCGGGTTTGTGATTTCTGTAATTTGGAGGGGTATTTTGGTTGGGATCCATGGTTTTTGGTTGTGAAGATTTAGTATGTAGATTGTGTATAGAGATAGAAAAGAATGGTGTAAAAAATAAGGAGTAAAAATGTTGTATTTATAGGTAAATAAATAGTTTAATTTTTTTTTTAAAGAAACTAGGCGTTCAACGGCTAGTGTAACGTTCAAATCGTGAGCTGCAATCCAATTGGTCGTGCGAGTCCGTTGTCCCGAACACGAGTGATCACGAAAACGAGCCACCACGAAACAACGGGGTGGTGTGCACGCCCGTTGTTCGTGGCCAGCTCGACCACGAACCTCCTCGTTATAGGTATACCACTTGGCCTAACAAGATGTTTAGGATTTTTTATGAAATGTGAACTATGATGGTTACTTTTTGTTGTGGTTGCATGAATTTTAATATATCACATATATGACTTTGTAGAAATTTATCAACTTGTGGACTATTAGGCTTTAAAAATGATTATATATAGTATGAACTTGGTGTACATGTTTTTCAATATTTTTGTAGTAAATTGTGAAAAAAAAAATTAGTCCATATAACCTAAAATAGTGGGTTAGGCTTACACATCGGGTTATTTGTGTTTGTGGGCTGGAAATCGAAGAAATGGACTATTAACTTAATACCATATTTAACCAAATCACACTAAAAGTAAGGGGCTGTTTGTTTGCCTCTTATTGCCTCTTAATAAGAGGCATATCTAAATCTTTTCCATTAAGAGTGTTTGTTTATCTATTAATTTCACATCTGAATCTGAAATTTACATCTTATTCGGTCAGACTTGTTATCACATCTGAAAGAAGAAAAAAAGGGCCGCTTCCCATTTTGCCCTAATCGCATAAACAACTCCCCTCCATCGCACACAAGACACAGAAGCAACCTCTGAGGCTCCGACCTCCTTCCATCGTCAACACCACTTCCGACACCTCCCTTCGCCATCGCCTATGTTCTCTAATCTTCCTTTAGTGTCGACCACCACTTCTGCCGGTACAGCTAGCGTCGCCGACAACGAACGCCTCCAACGAGCCCACTGCGTCGTCGGCTCTCTCGTTAAGCAACGATGTCGCTCACATCCGAACGCCAAGAAATATCCCTTTGAACACCGACACCTTCAGGGCCGCCGTTCGACAGCAAGACATAAGGTATGTGCTTCGTTCTTCTTCAATCGATGATTTCAGTATTTTTTTTTTCTCTTGGTTTTTCTCCAATAGTTTTCTCCGATGCTCTAGTGACAGCCCCTTACTCCAATCATTGATTTCTATATTATGATATATGTGAAGTTTGCTTTGATTTATGTTATTCTAATATCTGATTTATTGAAGCTTATTCTTGATATTCATAATGGAGAATAAGAACCTGATGGTTTGTTTTTTGATTTTTGTGGAATTTTTTTTGTTTATTTCCAACCCTAAATCACAGCAGTTGGCTATGATGTTTTGGTTACAAATTTTCATCCTATATAAAATGCTCTTAAAGTTGATTGATGAATTGGTGTATAGTTGTGTTTATATATACAGTGAATGAAACTTATTATATTTCTTGTCCTCAAAAACATTTATGGTATATAATCGTGTTATGGAGATTTGATTAATAGTTGAATGTAGACTTTGAAGCACAAAAAAGCCTAATTGTATCCCCTTTGGTTTGTCTATGGCAGATAATGTTGAAGCGAGAAGAGAAAGTGTGCAAGACAGGGTTTTATGTGCTACATATATGGAACTATTCAAATGGAAAATGTAGTTATTAAATGATTATTCTTGAATTTGTTTAATTGATCAAGTTTAAGTTGTTATTATGGTCTTTAGATTAGATTTGCAAGTAATAGATTGTGGTCATTAGATGGTCACTCTTGAATTGGTTTAACCGATTAACTTTCAGTTGTGATTATGGTTTTTAAATTAGCAATATTTTTCCATTTTCATGTTCAAGAACATATATGATTGTGTTTGTATACATTATTTCGTTATTTTTTATACAAAATTGCAAGTGTTTTCTTTTGTATGGTGTTTTTATATTTTTTAGTTATTCAAAAAGTTGGTTTAGTTATTTTATAAACAAAAACAATACATAAGGGTAAAATGGTCAATTTTATAATTCAATATAAGAATTCAGAGGTTCTAACCAAACAACATGTTTAAATTCAGATCTTAAAAATTCAGACCCTCTTAGAAATTCAGACCTCTTAAAAATTCAGATCTTAAAAATTCAGATTCTGCCAAACAGCCCCTAAATTATCAAAAACCACACCGGTCCAAACAAAAATGATTTTTAATGGTTTGCGGGCGGTTTGGTTTGATCCTATGCACACCCCTAGTAATTCAACCCTACCACTAAGACAAAATCAAATAATAAAATAAGCTAATACTATTTTATATATATAATTTAATAATTTATTATTTTAAATGGCATTGATGTGGATCGGTTTTTGAGGGTCAATTTCCACCCAAGGAGCATCGGTTTTTGTTTTGGTTCTTGTTAGTTGCAGTTTTTTTAATCGTTTCGGTTTTATATTTCCTTCATATCATTATTAAAACCATCCATCATCAAAACTTAAAACCCCTAATATAATGCAATTCGAAATAAAAACTTACCAGGGATCGAAATAACCTAAAAGATTTCAATCATCTTCATCTGGATTCATAGTTGGACTGGACTTTCAGATAATAATCCTTCAAAACCAAAACAATATTCAGTTAAAGCCATCATCTTCATTTTATACACACATTAACCACATGGTTTTACCATGTCTGCACATGGCACAACTTCACCATTAAAGTGGATGAACTGAAGAATTTACCTTGAATCTTGGATGGTAAATACTCTTTTGATAACAAGCTAAGTGAGTGAACAGATAATGCTTCAATCTCAAACTTGACTCCATTTTTCAGCAGTAACTCTAGTTCCAACCTAATTACCACAAACAAAAGATATATAAATTTTGAAAGGCTAAGTTTTTTGCAAAGCTATAGAGACAAAGAACATCATCAACCTCCACTCTGGCACTAGTCTTTGCAAATAGCATCGATTCAAAATGGCCTCTGTTTTCACCTTATCTGATAACAAACAAACAGTTTTCAAATTAAAAAAAAAAAAAACAATGTAAGAGAAAGGGAGACTCTAATGTAGTAATGATCAAACCTTGGGGTGTCATAGGGAGGAGGCATTGTTGTGGAAAATTATATTTCTCTACATCTGATGGAAATACTCCAAGCCACTTAATCTCAGGAAGCCTTAGTATCTTTGCATCATATGCCATTTGCTTCATGAGAGAAAACTTATTATTATTATTATTATTATTATTATTATTATTATTGACATGTAAATTAAATATGATTGTTACAATGCAATTACCATTGAGCCAAAGCGATATGTGGTTAAGATGTCAAAGCCATATGGATCACAATCAACCAAGCAATAAGCTGGCAATTGCAGCTGTTGGATTAGTAGCCTCAAGAACCTGATTCAGAAATACATTAATTGCTATTACAATTTATGGATAAAAGGGAAAACCTAGAAATAACTGAATCTTTTACCTTCTTGTTGGAATATCAGGATAACCTCTTCCCTGTAGAAATATAGTTAGTTAATGGCTGATTCATGAGGAGATTTTCAATGGATGACATCAGACTTACAGTTATAACAATGCAACGATTACTCTTGCAAAAACAATCATTTGCCAATCTTTGGAATACTGTATAGTGGAAAGTGTAAAAAAAAAAAAAAGCATGCATCAAAATTTCAAATAGCAACAAAGTCTTCTTGCTATTTGCTAAAGAAAGAATTAGACCTCTCACCTGATTCCTTCTCCACTACTAGTATATAGTCTGCAACACTCATTATATCTATGCACAATAAGAACCAAAGCCAAAGGATATATCAGTTATCATTGTTAAATGTTGATAGATATATAGATAGATAGATAGATATATGATGGGGTTATGTGATTGAATTAAAAAAAAAAAAAAAAAAAAAAAAACACACCTTTTACTTCTTCTACATGTACTAGAATAGAGTGTGCCTACCAGATATAAACCAATCAACTTCTGTCTCAAAAAAATATGTATATCTATATATATGTAAATAACATTTTCTTTCTTACATGATCAGGGTGGCTTAGGCAATTTATTATCCTATCAGCTTCTGAGAATCTCAACCATCCCATCACCAATCTGAAAACTACTTCACTCAAATTTTGAAACAAAAATGATTTTAATGATTTTAAACTACTCACCCTTTTGAAACAGAGACCTACAGAGGAAGGAGCAGAAAGGGGAATTAGACTAATTGTGAATTGTGATAATGAAAATTCATAGATATACTTTTACACAAATGAAAAAAAGGTGAAAAGACAAAAATACATACAACATTTAGGTTGTGGCGACTGCACTGAAGAAGGATGCAGATGTCATTAATGGCTCGGTCTACAACTGATTGTTCTGGTATTGTATGGTATAATATATTAAGGGATTAAATTAATCTTGATATGTAAAGTGTCAAAGCAGAAACACGTATGCAATTGAAAAATACTTTGCATATAAACAGATTTTATCTATAGATTAAGATGGCATGATACACTTTAGTATACAATCAGTGCTATAATGATTCAACTTCACCTTGAAACACAGAAGGATGCATGTAATAAATGTCTCTTTTTGACCCATGCCTATTTTCTTGCAAAAGTTGTTGAACAATAAGTAGCACTCGCAATAAAATATCTGTGAAAAGAACAATTTTAGAAATTTGTTGAAATTAAAGCAATTTGAATGCAAAATTTGTTACATTGGCAAAGTGTACGCACCCAACCTACGTGCATGGCACTCCCTTTGTAGTGTGAGAATCTCCACTCCCTTAACTGAGTCATGGCTGCAATAGCTGCAAACATAAGGGATCATTGCTTCAATATGTATTATGAACTTTTTCTTTCATCTCTTTCTTGTTAATTATGCATTTATTCCATTTTTTCAGACACATAACACCAAAACATCAGTTGAACAACTGTAAATGGTCAAGCAAGCTTATAGATCATCATCCTTTTCACCAGAAAACTTGACAGTTTCTGGATCCCAAAACTAACAATAGAGTTCCATTAATGCGCCTCAAAGTACTACAAGAACTATAAAGTAATACAATCAGTCGCTCTCTACAGATGAATAAGTTACCAGTTTCCTAAAACATATTTCTGTTTGTAAAAGACAAGTCACAGAGTAAAAGAGACCATACAATTGTGTCTAGAGATTCACATAGTAAAGGAAAAGGCATGTTATGTTGAAGTATATATCTATAAACCATTTGAATCTTCCACTCTTTTAGGAATCCCTACGAAAACTAGGACAAAGAATGGGATTCACATCCATCATCAGAATTTGAAAATTTTGAGATTGGTTCTCAATGTCTGGGTTTCGGAAATATAACACAAAGTAGTTCGTGATTTACTGAGTGACTGAGTAGTCCTAACTCGTGAGACTTTTTGAAATTGGGAGAACGAACGTTACTTACCAGTTTCCAGAAGTATCAGTGCAGTAATTACGGAAACGATGAATGTAAATCACCGGAGAACGACCAAGAGAAAGATCTTCAACAATTGAACGAGTAAAATCTGCATATGCACGTCGGTGTTCGTCCGGCGTATACAAATTGCAAGGAATAGTATCAACATCATCGTGGAGAATGGTTGTAGATCATTAAATATAAGAAAATTTATCAAACTTGAATGCATCTTACCTCTTATCTTCTGCAATAAATGGTTTGATCGTGAACTCGAACGTTTTCCCTCTATTTTGTTTTCCATTATGTGCGAGAATTACGAACCTGGGCGTTTGAATTTGGAATGTAAAAGATGGTAACTTCTTTCAATATATACAAAAATATTAAGAAATCAGTTTTAATAAATTTTTGATGGGATTTTATAAGAAATATTATCATAACTAAATAATTATGATAAACATTGGTTACGTGTAAAATTACCATAATTGTAAAAATACATTAATTAGTATTATTTATCATGATAATATTCCTCATAATTAACACTTCAGTTAATACTTTTTATATGTGTCTTTTCCGACACATATTAGAAAATCCCTAAATAATATTATTTATAACTAATATTTATCATATTTAATTATGGTAATATTCCTCATAATTAACACTTCAATTAATGTTTCTTATATGTGCCCTTAGGGTACATATTAGAAAATCTCTTATTTATTTGGTTTCAAATGTCTTTAGTTTTCTCGTTAAGGTTGTTAATTTGGTAATGTGGCATACACTTGAGGAGAGTTAATTATATTAGTTAAAATAGTCAAAACTAAATCATCAGCGTCTCATATTTTGTAAAAAATATGGTTGGTTCATAAAGGCTTTAGTCGTTATGATCAGGGTCCAAAAATCAATAGTATTAGAGAGGTAAAGTGATGTTGTGCTGTTGAAGCTAGTTTCTTAGTTTCATAGACTGACAAAATCCTTGGAAGAAAGTTCAACGAATGTCCTAATTTTAATGTATATTTTTGTTTGTAGATAACTCCTGATCTACCATATACAAATCAAGACTACAAAAGATTTAATGTTCCGGATGCATGAAGAGTTGAAGAGAGAAAGTGTTAGAAGAAGGAAAATGCAAATATGAAACTTGAGAAAATGATTGAATTGTTAATGAAGTTGTTGCTATTAATCATGGTTCTTATTGTAGTGAGTCTCATGTTTGGTTTTGGGATCAAAGTCCACGTGTCGTTGACTTTTTCATATGTGTAGCTATTGATTTAGGTTAGGTTGTTGGTTTAGTCTTTTAGTAAGGTACTTGTGTGGTTAGGTTTGTGGTTTCCTCTTTTGGTTAGTATTGATACAACTTATGGTAATGTGGTTGTTGCTATTAATGATGGTTCTTATTGTAGTGAATCTCATGTTTGGTGTTGGGTAGTAATGTTGATCAAAGT